GAATAACTGCTAGCAAACTGGCAAGGAATGATAACCATACATTCCTTAAAACAAAACACATCTATATTGGATGTAAATATGCCATCGACAAAAATGCACCCTGTAGCAATGCCAACAATCACCAAAGGCATCATGAAACAGAATGTGATGTGTCTGCACTCTGCGGAAATGACTTACTGTACATAGAGATTTTCAAGGCAACCAACCAACTCCTGAGATTGGTCTAAATGGAGTTTATATTGGTTAGCAACTTAGCATCTCTCAAAAATCCTGTAAAGCTTCTCCAATGAGGCCACCTGAGAAAAGCAAGGATCAGATATTAAAATTTAAATTCACAAGAAGGGATGCTTCCCAAAAAGTTAGTAGTATGGGATTAAAGTTGAAAAAAAAAAAAAAAGAAAAGAAAAAAGAAAGAAAGAAAGAAAGAGGTACCCAAGCACTGCTAGTATATATCTTTAAAAAGAAAGAAGCCTTGTGCCAAGCATATGTAGCTCAACAAAACAGCTACAGATTGCATCTTGTACTTTGGCACCGTTGGAAGTTTTATATTTAATGAAGACAGAAATAAAAAACAATTCTTAAAACTTTTGTGAAACATATGAAACAAACTGATGGATCTGGCTATCTCATATGGACAGACATGCAATGAAGCAACATCAAAAGGATCTCCATAAATGGTGAGTCCCTCAACACAGAAGTTTTAAACTTTTTGGCAGTTCTAACCAAGAAATTAATATAAGAAACATCAAAAATAGAGTATAGAGGTTTTGGCAGTTATAACAAAGATAATAAATAAAAGGAATTCTGAAAACATATTGATCTTCACAAAGGTGTGGCAAGAAAATAAAAAGATGTTCTACTAAATCCACCTACCCGGACAAATGTTCCATTGCTAGCCATTGAAGTTGGTGGCTTTAAAAAGAGCCTCATGGATGGAAACAAGACATGCTGAATTGACCATTCTCGCTGGGCCCATGCAGTTTCTGCCTCAGAAAGGAGCTCATGCTCAATACTGTCCTTCATTTCAACATCATCCCCAGTAGACACTGGAAAAGCAATAAGGATTTCATACTCAATGGATTATACAGAATTACAGATCACATGATTAAAAGAGATAGACACAGAAAAAATATAGAAATGGCAGAATAGGTGAAACCAGAAAAAAACTACTTTTTAAACAAAGTCAGTGATTTCACACCACCTCACTGCTTTCATCTCCTAGAAGTACTCTACTTTTAACATGAATGTAAAACTCCCCCATCCATGAAACAAAGGTTTAGAGCATAACGCATAAAAAAAGGTGGAAACATTACACAATAGAGTAAAAAGTGTGTAATGAGAAGACAAAATATACCCATGTCACTAGAGGAATTTCCTGCATCTTCAGGATTCTTGACAGGTTTTCTCTTTTTGTAAAATTCCAAACCATCACCTGATGGATTTGGCAATAAAGGAGGATGCATGGCATAAAAATTCCCCAGAGCAGCTGCAATAGTTTGGAAGCAATTTTTTTCATCTTCCCAGTCAACCTGCAACAATGATGAGAAATCAATGTTGATAAAGGAATTATACCAACAAGAAAAAGTAAAAAGGAAAATGGAGAACGAATAAGGCACATTTAAACAAGGAACCTACATCATTGCCCAAACATAGTACAAATTCAGGAACACGATCCATGTCTGGGGTGTACTGATCAAGTATGACAGGAAGCCTAGACAAGTTCCCATCTTTATCAATGTGAATAGAGAAATATTCCTCCAGCATTTCACCCTTTTGCTTAAGTAGTTGTGTATTCATCTGGAGGGTTCAAATGATTTTTAAGTCATGATAAAACAAAAATCAAAGAAACAAACTGCTGTAAAAAAACATAATCTGTACCCATGTAGCCCAATGGTCTATCCATATATATGAGATTAGACATATATAAGTAAATTATGGGTATGCATTAATGTCAAATTTGAGGGAAATAGGAGTAGGAAGCAATCTTGTTTGGAAGGGGGGGAGGTGGGTGGTAATGTTTGGTTTTTAGGACAATATTGCTAGCATGTTATGGTTAACTCAATTGTTCACATGTTGAAGGCTACAAAGACTTGTATAACATGGATATTGGAAGCAAGAAAAATAATGAAACTAAATGATTAATTCAATCTAAAGAAAGAGGTTACTTCTGCAATCTTTTCTTTAAGGTCATCATTTTCCTGGCCATCTGGATCCAAGTCCTCCTCCTTCAGGGCCAGTGTAATGAGCTCTGGCATGGGAGCTGGCTCACTAAGTTGTATAGCATTGAAATGAGAAAACCGGCGAAGAACTTGCTGATACATTAGCTCTTTGCTGTAGATTCAAAGGAAGAGAAAACAAACACAAATGGTTATAAGAATCAAAGCATAACTAATTAGCCAAGAAGACTTTCAGGAATAACACTTTCAACTCTTACTGTTCCAATTTTATCCATCCATCAGTCCCCATCATCAAAGTCCAAATTAAATACAAACAACCACATGAAACCAAAAGGAATGAAAAGCTGGCCTACTGTTAGTGCCATATACTGTAACATGCATTATTTTGTTCTAATTAGTAATCTGGCACATGTACCCTCAATTGCTTTGCAATAAATTTGCTTATTTACAGTATTACCTTAAGTTCACCACATCCACGAGATATAGATGAGTATTATGTTGAAGCAATGCAAAAACATCATCTGCCATTCCAACATATGTGCATTGTCTTATAATGTCGAGCAGCCCTACATAACATATGTCAATAAGAATTAACTGATAAATAAGCTAACTTTGCAAAAGGCATAGCATAATAAATTTTCAATAAATTACCAGGGTGACAATTTTTATCAATTTCATCAATTAGCTCTTGAATGCTGGTAAGATCTGCAGTTTCCCTTGGGTTCCTTCTTTGCCTAACAGAAGACCTAAAAGTCAAAGTTTTATTTAGAAAAATTAGCAAAAGCATCTAAAACCACTATTCTCTTTTTCGTCTGCTGGTTGATCCTACCTCACAGCTGTCAAGGTAGAATTTCCAGCAGGGTGGTTCTGAGGCTTGACATGCAAGTAAGCATGTAACCTTCCAGCTGGATCCGATGAATCAGTTCTGACCATTTTGTTCACTGGAACTTTTTGTGATTTGGAACCTACCATGATTGAAGAACATGAGACTTCAGACATACACTAGAATATGGAAAAACATAATTGAATGGATATACTGACAGAAAGACGAAAACATAAACACGGAAGTCAATAAAACAGGAGAACATTTTCCATGCCATTACCAGAAGGTGAAGGATTAGGATGTAAATCCTTGCCTGCACTTGAAGGGATAGATGGAGAGGGTTCCACTGTCTATTACATGTAATATTCACAAGATACAAAAAAACGTGTATGCATTAGATAAAAGAATCAATCTAAATAATTACATACAATTATTTCTTCTAGAAATTAAAGTAATAACTAAGCAATAAAACAATATTACAAAATACTATATCTTAAAAAACATTGCAAGAATTATAGAATATTATTTCTTCTTGACCAGATATACCTGTTCTTGAAATGTCCTTGACTCATTTGAGTTTCTCAATTTTGATTCAACCACTGACTGTAGCTTCTCAATAATAACTTCCTGATTTAAAAGGCTTACCTACATATGCATTTGTTTGAGTGAATAAATAAAAAACAAGTAAGTAAAGGGATTGCAAGAAAAGAATGGGCGGGAGAGAGTGCTTGCTTTCAGGGGCATTAACATCATTCACCAGATGATTCACTACAAAACAAGATTCACTACATAGTTGATATTAGGGTCATAGTTTTAAGTTGCTAATACTAGGGCTAACATGCTTGATAGGTTGCTATATGCGTGGTTGGACCCTATACCTGTTAGTTTTAGTTGTTGGATAAATGGATGATCAACAAGAACATAGTTAATCAACTTCTAGAAAGAGACAATACCCTCCTTCCACCCAAAATAGATACAATTTAACATAAAAAGATTCTTTCTATTGGTTCATCTCAAACTTCTATTAGGCATTGGATTCCAACACGAGGACCCAAAGTGGAAAGAAATCAAAGAACTTGTACCTCTCTCTTTGTTGGGTGCACATTCACGTCAACATGCTCAGGTGGCAATAAAATTGACATGTAGATGAAGGGTTTTGATGCTTTAGGTAAGGTTGCAGCATAGACAATTTCAATAGCTCTCTTCAAAGCAGCACAATCAACCAACCTATCTGAGGTAAATTAAAGAGGAAAAAGAACAAAGAAAAGAAATGAACATGGGTAAGAGCAGTTTTGAGGAATCTACATAAAATTAGCATGTTAACTATAATAAATGAGGCAGAAAATCTAACATCATTGAAGTTCCCGTTAGCAGTTAAATAAAAAGGTAGGCGAGAGTTATACTTGTATTCTGAACTGCATAAATTTGTTTGTCCCAAAGGGCAGGGATGCAACCGCTAAGTAAATTAAAAAAATAAATATGAAAGAGAAAGATCAATCCCCATAAAAGTATTCCCATTTCACTTTCAAGTGGTAAAGAGGCGATACATACCATTAATAAAAAGAACCATTGTTATTTTCTTTGCTACATAATTTGCATTAGAGATGAAGCCATCCATCTGGAAGACTGAGCTTGAGGGATCATTATCTGAAGCTTCTATCTTTATTAGATTGCGAGCGACTGAGACTCCATAAACAGACCTGATAGCATCAAGCCTTGATGATGTGGCAACAGAGTGAACATCTGCTCTAGCAGCTCCATGCTAATAATGTAAGACGTTAAAAAGTTTTACCCAACTTTTTTCATTGAAATTTCAATCAAGCTACAAAAGGATTGCACATTTACAAAAATAACTTTGAATAATCAAGAGGCTAACCTTTCTGCAAGAAAAGCCAACATTTATGTGATGAATAGCAAACCGGCTTAGCAAATCCACAATTTTTGTATAGTCATCAGCAGAATTTTGCAGTGTCTTCCTTCTAGCTATCATGTTATAGAACAAATTCTCAATCTGCAAAGACAGACAGAAGAATTTAAAAAAAAAAAAAAATGAAAGGGGAAAACTGACACACTGGCATTCCCAGCTCAGTGAACGAATCACATATCAAATTCAATGTGAAAAAGCATCATTAATTGATAATAAGTCTGCCACAAAGATTAAAACTTTGGAGCATGTTTCTCTTCACCAAAGCTAAACACTTGCCGTTTCCTCATTCTCCTATTCATTATTCCATTCCCAAATCTTTCCAATACCAATTGGTCATCATAAAGTAGAAAGCAAATCATAATTCAGGCCATATATTTAGTTTATACCATTATTTGAGTTCCTTTGACAGCAGCACATGCCTTTGGTTCATGTTCCATGACACCATCCCTGTAAGAAACCCTGAAACCATGCAGCTTATACTGTTAGTCAAGTTTGCTATCACAAATTCAAGTGACATTTCATCAAGCAAATGACATTCAAGAACCTGTAACCATGAAGCTGCCCCTTGGTTATGGTGGTAACTGTCACATGACCCACGTACGTCATACTGGCCAGCGCCTCCCCTCTAAAACCCATGGATTTTATAGACTGCAAATCCTCGTACTTGGACAATTTGGACGTCGTGTGCCTCTCGCACAGTATGGGCAAGTCCTCATACTGAAAAAATCGCAATGCAGATGAAATAATTTTCTTTATATATTTTCCTGTTGAAAACATTGAATAGTAACCAGAAGACATTACTCGAATGCCGTGACCGTCGTCGGAGACTTGAATGAGCTTAAGGCCGCCGTCCTTGACGACGATGTTTATGGAAGTGGAGGACGCGTCAAGACTGTTCTCCACCAGCTCTTTGACAGCGGACACCGGACGTTGGATGACCTCGCCGGCGGCAATTCGGTTCACCACCGATTCTTCTAGGCGGTGGATTTTTGGCGGCTCCCTGGCCACTCTCTGTACTTCTACTTCTACTTCTTCAATTTCGACTTCCATTCCTTGGCGACCCTCTCTCTGTACTAGTGTTCTTCCTTCAAAAGGGAAGGAAAACGGAAATACAGGACTTCCTTGTAAAAAAAATTTGGTTAAACCCCCAATTTTGTCCCTAAACTATTATATAAATCCTTGATTTGGTTCTTAAACTAAAAAATTTTTAATTTGATCTCTAAACTATTCATACGGAACCCAATTTAGTCTCTATTATTTATCAATTTGCTCTAAATTAGTCTTTTTGTATAAAAATAACTATTATGTTCATTATTTAATGGCAAAAAATAATAATTTAATGATAAAAAATAATAACTTAATGGTCACATATCATATTAATAACAAGACACGTTAATTGATGTTTATAAAAAAGGGTCAATTTGGAGTAAATTGATAAATAGTAGGATCAAATTGGGATCTGTACAATAGTTTAAAGACTAAATTAGGGATTTTTTTAGTTTAGAGACCAAATCAGGAGTACATATAATAGTTTAAGGACCAAATTGAGGATTTAACCAAAAAAAATTCAGTTCATCCTTAATAAAACGGTGCGTTTATTGGACAAACCAATTTCCCTTCTTTTTTCAACAATAGAGGAATCCGTCGCCATCTTTATTCTAAACAAATAATAATAATAATAATAAATATAAAGACAAATTTTTTAAAAATTATTAATTAAAATAAATCATTTATTATATCACCTATTATTAATATAAGATATTATTACACTTTAAAAATTCATGTATTATCTAAGTATTTTTTAATAAAAATGAGTGTAATGAAGTGATACAATAAATAATAAACAATTTATTTCGATCAATAATTTAAATGATGATTTATCTTTATTCTTTTAGTAGAAATAATTCTATTTCTACCCTTTATTTAAAAAGTGAATTTAGAAGTTTTACCAAGAAAATCCTTTTCTCACCTCTCAAACCATAAATCTTCATGCAAGGGTACAAGGATCTATACAATGTATCTCCATCATAATATTAATACTATTGGTAATTAATTATGTGATCTGATGATAAAATTATATATATTTTTAATCATAAATTTAAAATTTTAATTCTTAAATTGAAGTCTAACATATATGTAACTAATTACAAAATGTCAATGGACACAAATTAAAGGAGTATTTAGTTTAGAGTTTATAAACAGTTATCAACTATAAATTTAGTAGAATAAATTAGATATTTTAAATTATAAATAATAACAATTATCAATTATTAAATTTCATGTAAAATAATTAAATCAAACAACTCTAAGACATAAAGAAATACGATTGGTAACAAATTATTCAAAAAACTGTTTCCCTGTGTCTTCCATTGATGAATTGAAATGCATATCCAAGATAATTATATACAATACAAAATTCAATTAAAAGAAACCTTGATTGACTCAAATACTAAAAAATTTAAAAATCCCTCTTCTAAAATATGAATTGATCATCATCATGAGTTATGATGATGATTGATCAGATACCAAACTCTGCAGGTGCCGTTCTATGGGGGGAAACCGTGACAATACGAGCAGTGTTGAATTAGTTTGAGCCAGGTTGCGATGCATTCTTTGTGGTACATGTGTTGGCACGGCTTAATAACTGCATACTTATCCCCGTCCTGGAAGTCGTCTAAGCAGATAGCACAGGTGGTGTTGTAGGGGGGAGGGACCTGACCTGTTTTGCATGATCTTCTCGTGATCGTAAATAACACCTTCAATCTTCACTATGATATTAACCCTTCTGCCTGCTGCAGACATCCTGCTGTGGGGGCTCTCTCGTCTGGGTGTAAGGGTAGAGTACAGCTCAAGACAAGTTGTACGACAGTTACAATAGGAACACCCTTACCCCATCACCTGCCCTTACCTAATCTTCCGTCTCCAAAAGATCTGCTTCGTCAGAACACGTCATGCTCATTTAATGCGATTGTTCCATTGAGACACGTTACATTCACCTAATACGTCTGCTCCATCAAACAAATCATGTCATGATTACTGGGTTAAGCAAGCCACGTGAATACCCTGTTAATATATACAAATACTTCCACAAACTACTAGAAAAAGGTAAGACACGAAATCAATCAAGAACTCTTTCATACTTCCCTCTAAGAGAGTATAGCCCAGATTATTGCTAACTTAAGTATTAGAGAGTCTACCCTGGAGACCATCCTCAAGGCTTTGCAAGTTAACTCGAAGAGATTATAGCAAGGGAGATCTTAAAGGATTTCTGCATCAACACTGGGTTTGTGGCGGATGAGAAGTAGTAGTGTGTACCAAACCTCGCTCAATATCATTCTGCTGCTGTCGACGTCGTTGAGGTTGAGCTTCGCTGTTGGCTTCTCTTTCTCTTCTACCGCAATTCACAAAGCAAGCAAACAAAAAAAACGCCATGGGAGATTGAGAAACGTCAGAGAGAGGGTTTTGGATTTAATTTAGAGATATGGTTAATTGATGTTTGTGATGAGCAATTTATAGTGGGGCTTGGTCACTTGCGCCATTTCAACTAGGATTTATATTTGTTCAAGGATGGTATGAATATGATACCCTTTGATTGGAATTAATACCACTACTTGCCACTGAATTAAGCCAATTAAGCCTAGGGGTTGAATCATGCTAAATAAGTGTTATTTTATAAATTAATTTTAGGGTTCAAACTTTGAAAAGCATTTTTAATTAAGTTCAAGAAAGTTATCTCCTATTTTACAACACAAAATTTATGAAATATATATATATATATATATGTTAACAAAATTTTCAGATTGTTATATGAAGATCTTAATTTGTCTTATGTGCTATGAACAAAGCATTTTTTTAGTAAAAACTATTTGACCCTAATATTTGTCTAAGTGCAATAAATACCCCCTTTTACAATTAGTTTTCATAAAAAATCACAAAAATTAAACTTTATTTTAACACCATTGACATATAAATAATTTTAATTAGTCACCTAAATATATTAAAGTCAACATTTATATTTTTCATCCAAATTAATTATAAAAGGTATAATAAATACATCCTTAACCTACCCTAACGGCACATAATAGAAAAACCCGATAGAGAAAGCAAAATAAATAGAGCTAACCCAGTTTGCTACACTTATACATAATTGCATGCTTTGTAAATTTTTTCATAGTAATGTTCTTCTCCTGGAAGTAAATAGTAAATGCTAATATCTTGAAAACGTTTCAAGTTCCATTAAAGATTAATCTTCAAGAACCTGCACCTCCATGTCGGTGGTGGAGTACAGACCGATAGAGTGCAGCAACATGGAGAAAGCAGATGAGTACTATAAGAAGATCATCCAGGAGACCAACTACTCCCAAGATTGCTGTGGTTTGACACCAATAATGTTGCGACCAATGTTAGTACCAGGATACTTTTATCAATATAATTGAATGAAATAAAAGCAAGATAAAAATTATACCTTCTGGAATAATGTCTATGGGGCTTAATACATAAACAGCACTTAGAAACATCTGTACATAAGAAAGAGAATGAGAATCTCCAAACAAAATACATAACAAAAGCAAATTTTTTAATATAGCATCAATCCATATTCCATCCAGAAAACTGGGGCTTAATAGGTAAATCATTAATCAATCCCGACCCTAACCAACCCTCGGGAATAAAACAGATTTTTCATTCTTTTTTTTTTCTTTTTTTTTTTGGGGGGGGGGGGCACTTGGGGTTGTAATAATGTGTGTAAAAATGTGTTTGAAATAGTGAACCAAAGAGATGAAAAGCATAGATTATGAATTATTCAAACTATATAGCCATAATTTAAACTAAATGATAGCTTAAAACATAAATCATAAGCCCTAGAAAAGGCAATTCCCTAGTGGTCTTTAGGTGCTGAGTTCACAAAAATTTGCAAGGAGACCAGTTGGCAATCATATTGTAAGCCTTATGAAAATCATTGCTCAGTATGAATGGAACCATTCAGTGAAGGCAGCTCAGACGAGAAGTGATCTTAGATAAGCTAAATTGACTTTGACTTAACTGCAATAAAGACACGTGCTCTGATAACAAGAGGAAGTGATCTCCGAGGATCTATCATTTCCCTCACCAACCTCCGCAACAGAAAAGGAAGGTCTCTTAGTCTCTGGATGAAAGACAAAACAGAATTCAAACTTCAACTCACTGTAGTCATAAATGAGTGAAAATAACATATGTCATGAAAAATTATTTCATGCTTCAAAGGAAGAATATATAGATTACAAACTTCTATTTTGAAGAGAACTTCCTAATCAATATAGATGCCAGGGTGCTCAAAGTTATATGGGCAAATCTACAAAGACATCAGAAAAGTCAACAATAAACAAGAACCAAGTCCACGATTATGAAGGCATCACAAAATTATTTCCCTGGGAATAGGGTGCTGAATATTTCATAATAATTCAAATGTAGGTTTTAAGGTACCACATATTATGAAATAAACAAGAGGTGACATAAAAAGTCCAGTCAAGAAATCCTTCATCAGAGCAAATAACATCCTTTAAAGGCAACAATAATTGCATGGAATAATTTTCCCGATTGCATAAGAGAATCAACAGAGAAACATATACCTGAGTGAGACCACTGGCTTGTCCACCAAAAAATCGATTGTAATTTTCAATATTTTCCAAAACCTCTGCAACTGCTGGGTTATGACGATCCCTTAATGCATCCTCGCCAGGAACCAACAACGTAATCTGACGACGACATAATGGGCATTTACATGGAAAAAGCGTCGACCCATGTTGCCAAACAAGCATAATGCATTTTCCTAGATAACGAAAAGGACATCAAATAATTACATTATTGTCAAGCAGAACTACTCACTTCATTTTCATAACAAAGGAAATCATAATATCATCAGATTTAATAATTTTATTGAATACACCTTTTCATAAACAAATACAAAAAAAACACAGTTGGCCATAATTTAGACTGATTCTAACATAAGAAAGATAAACAAAAAGTCTTCCAAACTAAAACTTAATTAACCTATACTAAAGTAGGGATATAAATAATTCTACTAGGTACAAAATCAGTTCTTTCTTCTTCTTCTTCTTCTTCTTCTTTTTCCATTCATCTGTTCTTCCTTTTTTTTTTTTTCTTCTCACAAATCAATTGAGTCTACTTTAGCAGTAATGCTAACTCAAGCAATATCATCAATGATGCAAACTCAATTGACACTTTCTGCGATGACATATAGGATTCACTTGGAATTGATTTCAAAAAATTTATATAATACTAAATGCAAGAGGAAATCATAGATTGTATCAATCTGAAATTAGGCATCATATTCACACCAACAGGTGCAGGAACAGGTACAGATAGGAATCCCAACACAATGCCACAACAAATTAGAAGAAATAACATTGAATGCTGAATGATACATACTTAGCAATAGTAAGGCAACAAAAAATGTTGATCGCAAGAAAAATTACAGGTTGAATTTGAGAGAATTGGACAGAGAAAAATTTTGGAGGAAAGGAAAGTTACCGCAGAACCAGTGTGAGCAGTTAGCTTGGCAAGGAACCTCGAAACTTGCCATGCAAATAGAACAGCGATCGTTCGCCGGAGGTCCCTCCATCTCTCGCTCACCGTCTCCGCCTCCGCCTCCGCCTCCGCCTCCTATCCTCGATTTCCTTCCACTGTAAGGATGCTCGAATCCTCGGGCCAAAAAAAAATAATAAGAGTAATAATAATAGTACTTGCTCCAAACGGACTCTGACGCGGGGAAATATGGTCACCGTCAACTTGTGGGTTCCACATGGAGCCCATTATTCCGAACTCGCAAAATCGGCAAAAACCTGCTTTGAGCTCCTCGTCTTACAAAATTTGAAGGTTTTAACCTTTGATCTTATACTTATAACACTTTTAATCTCTTATCTTACTAAATTTGTAAGTTTTAACCTCTCACCTATTAAAATTAAGGAAAATAATCTTTATTTTATACTAACTGTTAGCTCTGTTAACTGAAAGTAGATTTTTGTCAACTAACAGTCAATTAATTACCAGTTAACAAAATTAAAAAAATATTATAAAATTAATTATATTAACTCTATTAACTAAAAAAAAAGTTTTTATCAACTAACAGTCAACTAATCGTCAAATAATAGTCAACTAATAAAATTAACACTTAGCTAGTAAGACTAATAAAATATTACAAAGTGAGAACTATTTTATTCAATTTTAATAAGTAATAGATTAAAAGTGTCATAGTATAAGGTGATGAGTTAAAACCTATAAATCTACTAAGGTGGGGGTTAAAAGTGTTATAATATAAGATGAAGAGTTAAAATCTTTAAATTTGACAAGATGAGGGGTTAAAAGCAGGCTTTTACCCACAAAATTCTGGTCAACTTATCTTTCTGGTCCCTGGATCTTCTATAAAGCAACAAATGGATCCC